ACACTGCCCCTCTGCCTCGAGTCCCCCTCGAACCTCCGTCACACTGCCCCTCTGCCTCGAGTCCCTCTCGAACCTCCCTGACACTGCCCCTCTGCCTCGAGAGTCGCCCTCGAACCTCCGTCACACTGCCCCTCTGCCTCGAGTCCCCCTCGAACCTCCGTCACAATGCCCCTCTGCCTCGAGTCCCCCTCGAACCTCCCCGGCACTGCCCCTCTGCCTCGAGTCCCTCTCGAACCTCCCCGGCACTGCCCCTCTGCCTCGAGTCCCTCTCGAACCTCCCCGACACTGCCCCTCTGCCTCGAGTCCCTCTCGAACCTCGGTCGCACCTCATTCAATTTGTGTCAAAAAGGTGTTATTTGCTTCCTATGATTGCGTGTTTGAATTTCTAAAACATAAAACTGAAACTTTGGTAATATATGCAAAACATGCTTATCATCATGCTTAAATTTGAAATAGACCAATAGCTAATTTGATTCTTTATTTAATATGCTAGAAGCTAATTGTTCATGTTGTTATCTTACTTGTATGACAGATGAAGAGTTTTATAAACTTGGCTATTCCATCTTTTTTAACTGGTTTTCCTCAAGAGGCTTTATTTCATTTAAATGTCCCGTGGGGGAAGAATATTTAATCTTGCAAGTTCACTCACTTGTTAGTGTGCAGTTATAGACAGCTGTGAATGCAATCAGGCTTTTTTAAAGATCCCGTGCATTACCCTGTGACGGCTCTGCTTCAATGGGCCTACAAGAAGAAATGACTTCAGGCAATATTTTGCACAGCGTATTTGAAAGGTCTTTTCCTGTCCTGGGAAGACTTTTTTTCAGTATGCTGCTTTTTTCCTTTCCACCTGTGCCCCAAATGACATGCTTGAATGTGGGATGGGTCTGAATGTACAGTATGTGCTTAGAGACCATTTTATACAGTATTCCTATTAAACCCTGCAGGACTGTGGCATTCCAGGATCAGGAATGGGTGTCAATGATCTGAAGAGCAGTGGACCCCTGTAGGAGTCAACTGAGATGGTTTTTGTCTTTGTGTGTCTCATGAAGATCAGTGTTTGCTGATCTTCACCGTATGAGTGTGATGAGCTGCTGAGGTACACATAATCTGTTCCTGGAAGACTCAAGTTTGCTGGTACCAGTCCCTGCAGAATGGGCCTTTTACACCTCAGGGCACCGCAGTGACTCCGATTTCTCTTTCAGACTCGGGATGACTTTCTGGGCCAGGTGGATGTGCCTTTACACCAAATACCTGTAAGTTTTTTTTATATGAAACAAATTGCGTGTTGTATTGAGACTGCAGGAAATGGTAGAATAAATATAACATCTTCATTCCTGTCTTTTGTCCTTTCTAAGTTCATACTACCTTCTCTGTATCCTAAAAAAGTAATTTAAATGTGATTTGAAATAGTTACCATACTTGTTTGTCAATTAATTTTAATCTTTTCAGTCATTTTAATTAAAGAGGTGTTGCAGCACTTCTCTCCTACAGCGTCTTCATTAGATGCTTTACTGATTTATCCCATTTCAAGTTTTTTTTTTAAAAAAAAGGTGCTTTTATCCAACACCTTTTCAAGTGTGATTCCAGAACAGGTTAGAAATCAGTCGATTCACACACACTTTGGCATACCACTGAAATACAAACCATTGTTGTTCACAGCCACTGGTGACAAGGAAGTAGTTTCTTTCCACATCAAGACTCACCCTGTGGCCATGTCGGTGTGATAGCTTTATTTTTATTCTCGTTTACACGGTAGTAAGTCGACAGTATTATAGGTTTGGCTGTTTATCTCTTATTATAGTTGTAGCCCCATAAATTAACAGTATTTTCATTCTTTTCATTTAATTTCAGATGGAAAATCCTAACATTGAAAGGCCATTCACATTTAAGGATTTTCTACTTCATCCAAGAAGGTTGGCTATCCATGATTCTAGTGAACTTTTTCCTTCTCGTGTTATGTTGAGCTAGGGCTGCCTTTTTCATTTTTCAGTTTGGTGCAGAGAGGTCTATCTTATAAAAACAAAAATGTGTAGACCTAAATTGCAGTCATGTACATGTAGATATATGCTTTGAGTTTTTGAAATGCTTTTGTGATTAATGTATTTAAACAGGAGATTGCTCCTAGGTTTACAGTACTTGCAAAATTTGAGGATTGTGGTTAGAATTCATAGTTCCTTACATGCCACAAAAGCACATTTTGATTCACATTAATGATTGTCACTTACCTTCCCTTCATGGATAATATTATAATATTATAAAATTAGTCTAATACATCTTTCTCTTTGTAGGATTGCTTCTTATTTAAAATGTGACTTAATATTTTTTCAAAGTACCTTTTTAAAATTAGATTATGGGAATATTTGGAGACATATCTTAGAGAGGAGCAATACAAGGGTGTATAACAGAGTTTGTGATGTTCAATCTGCATTTTTTGGTGCATTTATAATAGCTAATTATTTTTTGCTACACCCTCTCAATTTGGAATAGCCAGTTGTGTGATTTCCACTTCTAGTTATGTGGTTTTGCAGCTTGCAGTTATGAAACCCACTCATGGGAGAACAAGGAAGTGTAGGCAGGCTCCTCTGCGCCGTTTGCTCGCCACTGCTTAGGGACCCCAAGTCACAGTGACGCAGACCCAGGTTCAAGCCCGGGATTGTAGATCTCAGCCTTGGCTGTGGCAATCTCCTGGACCAGTTGAACCTCTGAGAAGGCCCTTATTTTTAAGAGAATTTCAAAATGGCAGTTACGTATTTGTAGGTTTGTACAGAGATTGCAAATATGCATGTAGGAGAGCACACTTATGAACTTACATTGAGTTAAAACCCCAGTTCTCCATGACATGAAAAATATAATGGCTTTCCTGTTTATTGTCAGGAAACCTGTAAATGCATTGTTCAATGGAATACTTCCAGCTGTTCTCTGGTTTTTACATTTAAATAAATTCATATGGCAATAGTAGTCTGTATTTTTCCTTGGCATTAGTAGTCTGTATTTTTCCTTTTTATGAGAAGCTTTGCTAATTATCTTCAGAATTTCTATTGATGATGGGAGTGTGTAGTTAGTCTCTGAAACCACACGCCAGAATGCTCTCACCTAATGTGGACCAATGTAACTTCTGAAACACACCTTGCTAGCGTTTTTTTTTTGCCTTAAAATATTGTCTTATTGCATTTAGAACTTAAATGTAATCTTTGTGCTTTCGTGTTTTGAAAATGTTTAACATGGAAAGATGTTCTTTGCTTGTTTTCTTAATAAAGTCACAAGTCTAGAGTGAAAGGCCACCTCAGACTGAAGATGACTTATTTGCCTAAAAGCAATGGTTCAGAAGAAGACAATGCAGAACAAACTGAAGAATTAGATGTGAGTTCAATGTGTTATAGTTTACTGTATCATACACCACATTTAAGCTGATATTTTTTACTGCTTTACTGTAGGGAAAGTGGGCTGTATTAAGCTGCTAGGGCATGTTGATTTGTACTAAATTTAGCCTGCTAGTTAGACCTGAATTGCCTGAAAAGACTTCAGCAGAATATAGCTGCTTGTGGGCGTCACAGTGCCATGGCTTTTAGCATTGCCACCCTGTAGCTCCTGGGTGCTGGATAAGATTCCAGCCTCAGCAATGTTCTTTGGGAGATTTGCATGGTCTCCTTGTCTCTCTGGCTCTCTGGTTCCTCTGGGTGTTCGTGTTTGCTCCTGCCTCCCAAAAACATGGGTTAGGTTCATTGGTGTCTTTATGCAGTCCCTCTGTGTGTCTTCACACACCCAGTGATGGACTGCCATTCCATCCAGGGTGTGGTCCCTTGTGCCATGTGCTTCCAGGATAGGTTCCTGGTTGTCACAGTCCTATGCAGCTGTTTTACAATGAATGGATACATTTCCTGCCCCTGTGAGAAGGTCACTGATACAGTCATGCCGTGTGCCATATCGCTTTTACTTTAATGATTTTGCATGGCTCTTTGTGTGTCCTTTCAGAAATGCATTTCAATCATTTATGTAGCTCTTAAGAAATGGGTTAAGACTTGTTAGTATATACATGTTACTTATATACATATTTACACAAAATAGTTTCTATTGTACCCCTAGTCTGGTTATAACCTTAAAAAATGTTCTGAAAAACAATAACAGCTAACAAACAAATGTAAATACTTAACATTGTAATTGTTGTATTGTGATCATATCCTCAGCAGTCTTGTTTTAGTCCTCTGATCTAGTGTTTTCCTGTTTGCAGCCTGGGTGGGAGTTCTTGGACCAACAGGACATGGCAGGCACATGCCAGCAGCAGCTCCCTGCACTGCCCCCTGGCTGGGAGGAGCGGCAGGACAACCTTGGCAGGACTTACTATGTCAACCATGACACCAGGACAACACAGTGGCACAGACCCACCATTCAGTATGCCTCACTTCAAGTTACAGTGTAACCGAAACATTGCATTGCATACTCTGAAAGACAGCATACTAAAATTATGAGGAAGGCCCCTTCAGTTCTGCATTTAAAAATAGTTTGAAAAGATGAAGGGTAGACGTTTTAAAACAAATCCCTTTGTCAAATGCACAGCTACTAATTACCTTTTATTCATTAATAATTGATCTTCCAGTTTTACTACTGTTTGAGTAGATTTTTTTCCAATTGGAATTTGCAATAAGAATATAACTTAATGTGGGCATATCCTTTCTAGATATTTATTATTGTATTTATTTGATGTACTTGAAATCTTAATTACAGTATGTCAATTACTTGTAATATATATATATATTGTGATGCCACATGGGAGAGGGGAAGGCAACTTATAAGCCCACAGCCGTAGCTCATCAGCTCACAGAGAAGTCCCTCCCCTCTGCATTCCACACCTGGGGAGGCAGTTCTATTTATATTTACCATACACAATCAGATCAGTTCCTAAGCAGGACCTGCTAAAAAAACAGATTTAATGCAGAAAGGTACAGAATAGCTATTGCCTTGCCGAAGCTTGATTACACAGTAAACATGGCTGTAATCTTTTATCATGTATGTAGAATGGTGCAGAGTACTTTTGCAAAGGGTGGGAAACTTCACAGCAGAAGGTTATTTATAGAACCCAGTGGAGAAATTTTAGAATGTGAATTGAAAGGTAGGTTTAGGTTATTTTTTCCCCCCGTCTCTTGGCAGAGACAGTCAGGCAGAGGAGGAGCAGAGACAGACAATACACCTGGAAGCACAGCACGCCTTCACTGCCCGCCGTCAGATCTCCGACCATGTGGAGGGCCATGACAGGAGGGATTCACCTGACGTAAGTGCATTGAGCTGCGAGATCAGCAAATCATCTCTTGAAATACCTTAATGGGATGCATTGCACAGAGTCTCTAAATGTAGCTCAACAAACAAAGATGACTGGATTATTAACAAGGTCATGTCTTCCCTCAGCTTGTATCTGTAGCACAAAGAATGGACCACAGTGCAGTCTCTGTGGATTATCTGTGTTGGGTGTTTACTACAGTACCTGTAATTGTTTGATGCATTACTGTTCAAAGACACATTGAATATGAACATTTTTTCTGTTTTAGTTAATTGATTATTGTAAGAGTCCTCAAGAAAATTCTACCTTGTGAAGTTAACCGCTACAATTAATAAAGTTTTGATTGTCAAAGTAATACTGTGCTTTAAGCTCTAAAATGTTATTTACCCTATAAAACCATATTCCAGATTTTTTTCCTCTCAAAACCAACTGATTTTGAGAATTTTTTCAGTAATCATGACAAGCAAATTTGATTAAAAAAAAGGGATTTTCTTTTTTTTTTTGCATCTTAGAGAATGAAATTTAAATTGATGGAGATGATCTGCTGATTTTCTTCCAGAGCTGGGAAATAATAACTGAAGATGAGGCCACGATCTATAACAACCACAACCAACGCTCGCCACCCCCACCTCTCTCTCCCATGGAGCAGCCCCTGTGTGACGTTCAGTCCCACCTGGCCGACGAGCTGGGCCGCAGTCTCCAGACCTCTGCGCAGGTAGCTGGTGACAGACGCATGTCCCTCCCGGTGAGCATCTTTTCACTGAATAATATACAGTTCGCCAGAGGCCTCCTGTCGCAAGGCCTGAGATTTCAAGGTTTCTGTTTCTTAGCTATGGGTTCAGGATGTTTAATCTGAAAGAATGGAATGATGGAAACCTTCTGTTTTTCTGGACATGTTCAAAGGGTGACTCTTTAAAGCAGGAAGTCCTTCACACAGGAGCATTTATTTCTGTTCTATAAAATGCAGGTCCTGGCTCTTATTTAGCATAAAGTGCCTAGCCATTACAGTGTTAGTGAACTCATTAAAACCTCAAAGTATGTGTCCCCATTTCCCTTTTGTTTAGTGTAATCCATGCCCTTGTTCCCATTAGCATCAGAGCCATTCCAGCAGGAGAGGAAGTTCACAGACTCCCACTCTCGAGGAGCAGCCCACACAGCCTGTGGTGAGAGCACACTGCTGGCATAGCTGGTAGTTTCCTTGCTTGTGCTTCTGTGAGGACTCGCCATCCTATCTAGGCACAGAACATGTACAGGTGCTGCACATTGTCAAAGCGATAATGCTGACATTTACAAATGATGTCACTTTAAAATCTTTCTGTGAAATGTGACCTTTTAGGAAGATAACTAAAATGAATGTGGTGTGATAATGACTCATGAGTGAGGATAGGATTGTGTCATCTCTCTAGCCACGAATATTGAGAACTTGGGCACCTGCTGTGAAATCCATTAGTAAATATCACAGGCTGTGACTTGCCTGTGAAATTTGCAGTGACTATGCCATGATATTCACATATTTGTACTTTAACAAAAGCCTCGATCATTAGCTCATGCTAAGCATTCTTATTTTTTGAACATTATGTTTTTTTTGTGCTGAACAGTTCATGCCAACATCAGCAGGGCTGCCGCCAGGTTGGGAAGAAAAGCAGGATAGTAAAGGAAGGACATACTATGTGAATCACAACAGCAGAACCACCACATGGACTCGTCCTGTCATTCAGGTGAGGTTGTGCCCAGCACAGGCTTTGCAGGAGCATTTAGCAGCGCCAAGAAACCTCTAGAAAATCGTTTCAGATAGCTTTGTGTTTTTCCATACTGTGACAAACTATGCAGTTTAGATAAAGGATGGTATTCACAGGGGTAAGAATCCCCTTGGAGAAAAGGAGTGCTTGTTTAAAAGTTTTTCTCAATTATTGATGTGAGACGGAAGCATGTTGCTCCTGAACTACGTAGGCAAGCTTTTTTCCACCATTTACAATTAGCAGCTTACATAGAGAAAATTGAAGAACATTATTTCTTAATGAAGGTGGCTGCGTCAGTATGCACAGGCTACGAAGGAACAGGTAAAGGTTTATTCCATGCTGAAAAGAAAAGGGACAACGTTTTGGCTCGGGAGCCTTCTTTGGGTGTTGACACTAAAGAAGTGAACATTAAAACATAACTTTGAACACTGAACATAAACATTTCTTTACGTTCGTGCACTTTCTGTTTGATTTAACGTTTGTTCATTTTTGTGACAGACGACTACAGAAGCTGTGCAGGCCACCTCGTGTACCAGCCCCACAGTGTGCCAACCCCCACTACTGTCTCCAGAAACCTCTCCTCAGCATGCTTCCAGTCAGAAGCCCCTTTATGAGACTGGGTTCCTCCCTGCGGGCTGGGAAATACGAAGTGCACCCAATGGCCGACCCTTCTTCATTGATCACAATACAAAGACCACCACATGGGTGAGCAGTGCTGTACCATGATAACGGGGTTGCTGAACTGATCCCGTTGGGTTTTGTGTTATAGCACGTCTGAACTCTTTTATTGTGAAATGATTTACAATGCCCAGAAGGCAAATTTACATTCCACATATAATAGAAACTACTGCTCCTTGAGTTTGAAATTTAGCATGCCCCGCTTTCAGTGTTTTTGTAATAATAAGTATCCACAAAATTTCCTTCTGTTTGATCCATTATAAAATAAAACGTATACTGTAAATACAAACCGTCACTGTAACGCTGCCTGGGTAAGGTAACTTGAGAAGAGCCATAAAACTCTCTTGGAGAACCGCTGACAGACGGGTGTTTTTTCTGTTATGTCTGCACAGGAAGATCCAAGATTGAAAATCCCAGTCCAGATGAGGAGGCGACTCTCTCTGGACCCTGCCGATCTTGGACCGCTCCCGGTATGACCCTCTTGAGCAGACATGTGCCAAGTTTCACTCTGATTCCTTGCAGTCTGCATGCTAAAAAAGACATTGCCAAAAATCGGGTTCAGCTCTTAGGCAGGTGACAAAGAAACCTCAGAAGATCAGAAGAAAATGTTTGCATTTTAAACTTTGGGCTCCATTTATAGCAGCACAGTGGCAAATTGGAAGCATTGCTGTCTTGCTGCGCTGGGGCCCTGGGTTCAATTCCGGACCTGGGGTGCTATGTGTGTGGAGTTTATATGTTCTCCCCATGTTTCATCCTGGTGCTCTGGTTTACTCCCACAGTCAAAAGACATGCTGGTAGGATAACAATTTTCTGGGAAAGCTGGCCCTGGTGTGAGTGTGGGCGTGTCTGTGTCTGTGTGTGCACTGTGATAGACTAGTGTCCCGTCTAGGGTGTATCCTGCCTTGTGCCCACTGCTTGCTGGGATAGGCTCCAGCTCCCCCTTAGCCCTGAATCGAATGAATTGGTTAGAAAAATGTATGGATTGATGGGCTCTATTCATGAGCACTTTGAACTTTTCTGTGCTTGATATTACCAGTGAAAATAAACTCTTTATCCTTTTTTCTTTTGGCAGCCTGGTTGGGAAGAACGTGTTCACACTGATGGCAGGATATTCTACATAGATCACAGTATGTATATGTCATTTCAACTTGCTATGAGAACAATCCTTTGTCCTAGTTTCAATTTAAAATTGATGTAATGTCCATAAATGTTACATTTTCTTTTTATAGATACAAAGGCTACACAGTGGGAAGATCCTAGATTGCTGAATTCTGCTATAACAGGGCCTGTAAGTCTGTTGATTAAAAAATACTAATCAATTTTCATTTTCTATTTTATAACTAAATAATGATGGCACATTGTCACCTCTATAGCCCCAACACAAGCATGGAGGGATTGTAGGTTGTTCCACAACCAGTCTTACTGCCATTCAATAGCAGTAGTATTAATTGGAGTTCCAATGCAAGCTCATAGACACCAACCAATTTTGCTCTTGCATGGTAAACTGAGCCCAGCTCTGGAGATTTTCAGGCACTGTGTGAAGAATGTGTCAGTCAGCTTGTAACCTAGCTAAAACCACTGATATCTCAGGTGGCAGGCTGTGTTCAGAGTGATTACCTTTAACTATTGAAATTGAGGTTTAATTCTTCACTGTACTGTTGAAAGCTGAATTGAACACTGAATTCAGAAGTAAAGAGTAATTTCATACAGAAGTCTTCCTGCATTTTGCTTCTTTCTTGATGTTTTAATTGGAATGAACACATTAAAATGTACAATTCAAAGAGCTTCGATTAGAACCACAATGTTTTTGAGGAGTGAATTTAATCTACAGTTTGTCTCTTAACTGTACTGTTCCTAGCAGACCACAGAAACATAATCAGGCAAAATTTGAATAGAGAACCCAATAGAGTTGTGAGACAACAGCACTAACCTTTATGCTACCATGCTGCCTGGAAAGCTTATTGTTGACTCAAAAATAAAATATGTGATGAGGGAATTGAGTGTTCCTTTTGAGAAATCAATAGGATATCTATCAATGACCAGAACTGGAACTGTCGTGATCACACATAACTTCTCCTTGAACTCTTTTCCATTAGGTTAGCTGTAAGTCTATTCAAATAAACTTAAATGTAATTAGATTAAATTAATTGCCTCTTTTGCGTCTACAGCATGTTAATGATCTCCCTCCTCAGGCTGTGCCTTATTCCAGGGACTACAAACAGAAGTACGAGTACTTCAGAAAAAAGCTGAAGAAACCGGTGAGCTCTTTATTATTGTAGATTTGAGATAAAATGCATTAATCTCTTAAATATACTACTTTATTTTTCTCTAATTTGCAGTTCTTTCTCAGTTCATTTCATAAAGATCACTGTTTTCATATATCCCAGTGAGGTTTTTCTCTAGTCTTCATTGTCTAGCGCCTTGCCCACCTAATTAGCTGAATAACGATTTAAGTCACAAACAGTGCAGAAGGTCTTCAAAAATGAATGTACAACCCTGACAAGAGTATTGTAAATGTTAATGGTTTATTTAGACTGTTTTAAGACCTGTTTATATTAAGGTTGTTGAATTGAAAAAAGTTAGTTCAGCCTGCAGTATACAGCTGTTGTAAGTGTTTTTTCCTCACATTTATGGCTTGGTACATTTTCTGTGTTCTTATACTCAAAGAAATGACAGAAGCATTCTGAAATTTATTATGAGGTAGAATGTTACTTTCCATTTTTAGCTGGCTAGCTCGCACAGTTAGGGGCAGAAACATTCAGTAATTCAGCACCTAAAGATTTTCCTCTTTAGTCCCTCTTCATTGTTAACACAAGCTATGTGTGAGTCCATAAATAAATCTGACATATCCTCTTCCCTGGCACAGTAAATAGATTCAATGAACACTACCCAGCTGCTCCCTAGCCAGTTCTGAATTATCCTGTCAGCTCTCTTTACGGCTGCTCTGTCTCGCAGGCTGATATTCCCAACCGCTTTGAGATGAAGCTGCGGCGCGCCGCAGTCCTAGAGGACTCGTACCGGCGCATCCTGTCGGTCAAGAGAGCCGACTTCCTGAAAGCCCGGCTGTGGATCGAGTTCGAGAATGAGAAAGGCCTGGATTATGGAGGAGTGGCCAGGGAATGGTTCTTCCTCATTTCCAAAGAAATGTTCAACCCCTATTACGGGCTGTTTGAATATTCTGCTACGTAAGTATTTCCGTGTTAGTAACAAGATGGCAGTATGTTTCATGTTTCTGCTTGGACAGTTTACAATTCTCATGGGGCGCTGAAAAAGTCAACTCGGTACCCGTGTCAGCAGTGAAACACCAACTAGAGGTCATAAGTGGAAACAACTGTACATGGAAATGCATTTAAACCTGAGAAGACATGCTTCTTAACCCAAAATGTTGGGGGAGAATGGAACAGGTTACTCATCCACGTTGTGGAACCAGAATTTGACTCCCTTCAAACAACTTTTGGATGAAATCCTTGGCTTAATTAGCTACAATCTAAAAATAGCCTAGATAAGTCAAATGACTTCCTCTTTTGTAACTTTTCTTAAATTCTTACTGTATATGCTGACATGAATGCCTGCAAAATATTGGTACTAGTTTTCAGTGAAGCTGGATATCACATGACATATTTGTTAATAACTTATTTATATTGGTTTAGCCTCTGGAAATGAATATCATTCCTGTGTACCTCAGACTCTACATAGTACACAAAGTAGCTAGGTGACCTTTAAAAATGATTAATTGTACTGCCCTGGAAACAACTTAATGGCTGTACTGGGGCAATTCTAATGTTCTGTAGACAAAACAAAATGCTTGTCAACAAATAAGGCTGATCCTTGCCAGGCATTTGCTAACCTCCAGGATGGCAGAGGGATTTAGCAGTATATCTACTGTTAATTATTGTGAATGTCCTTATTAGCTGTTAGAAGCCTAAAGAAGTGGATTAATGTTTTAAAACCTCCACACTTTTTCATACTGGGTTGAGATAGTTACTGGACTTCCTTGGTTTAGCCTGCTTAAGTCTTAAACTTTACTGGATTTTTACAGAATGTACATTTTCTTTTAAATAACCGTTTCTTTTTCATTAATGTATTTAGCTGCTTGGTCCATGTTTGCCATGCTTGTTTTCCTTAATGCTTGTTTTCCTCTGTGCAGGTATTCACTTGTGAAACCCGCATGAGTTTCAACATAGCAGCAGGACGTTTTGAGAATCCCTCGTATAGCTAGATTTTTTTCGTTGTCCTTGTGAAAGTTGACAGTTAAATAAAAAGTTATTTTTTGTTTCTTTTGCAGTGACAATTATACCTTGCAGATCAACCCCAACTCAGGACTATGCAATGAGGATCACTTGTCTTATTTCAAGTTCATTGGCCGTGTGGCTGGAATGGCAGTGTACCATGGCAAGCTGCTGGATGGTTAGTATTCTTATCTGTAGAGTCAGTATCAATAGCTTGCCTACCCAGGCCATATGCTAGTATCTCCAGAAGTGAATGCAATTAATCACACCCTCTTTCTGGTTAACAGCCTTCTTCATCAGACCCTTCTATAAAATGATGCTACAGAAGCCAATAACACTGCAGGACATGGAGTCAGTGGTGAGTGTTGAATGTTACATTTTCTGTTTTCTTGATTGTGTTTTCTTTTTTTTTTATTCAGCTGAGTTTTAGAATATGCATTGTACAATTGTATTTGTGATGTTTTAGGACAGCGAGTATTTTAACTCCCTGAAGTGGATTCTGGAGAATGATCCCACTGACCTCGACCTACGATTTACTATAGATGAGGAGCTGTTTGGTCAGGTATGTCCTGCTTTTTCGAACTATACCATTGACTGTGCTTTGCTGTCTCTGCAGGGCATGTGGGAATCCAATTTTCAGCTTGTCATACTGATAAGCTTGCCTATCTTTTTCTTAGTTTGACCTTCTATTTATATGTAATTTAGCTTCCAATCCACTTTTACAGATTCAATATTATGAACTCTGCAGTTGGGGATTGTGGGTGTTTTTTGCATGGTATTATACTTTGATTGATACATATTTGAGTTGTTAGGATTTAAACTAGGATGCACCACAGCAAAAAACAATAGTGCCAAAAGTGCGTCTGTGCTCATCTTGTTTGCAATAATTGTGATTGATAATCCTGATTATATTCTTCCATTGCTGTATATTGATACAAGTTACATTGATATACTGTATGTTAGGTGGGTGTCTTGGCAAGCTCATCAATAGGCTGCTGAACAATAGTTCTGTTTCTGTCTTCATTTCAGACTCATCAGCATGAGTTGAAACCTGGAGGGACTGACATCGTTGTCACAAACAAGAACAAGAAAGAGTACATCCAGTATGTACAGTATGATTATCTCCTTATCCGGCCCATAATTAGACTGGAAGCTAAGGAAGTTGTGTCATGAAAGATACTTTTTTTGTTTGTTTTCACTAACATTACCAGTTATACTTTGTGTATACAATATACAAAACTATAAACTGTGGTTGTACAAATCAGGATGTTTGCATGTTGTGTTTTTTGTATTGCAGCTTGTGTTTTTCCAACACAGCAGAGAGAGGCTTGTTTTCTGTGCAAATAGATTTTTAATAACAGTCTCTCTTTTCTTGGTAGCCTGGTGATGCAGTGGAGGTTTGTAAACAGAGTACAGAAGCAGATGTCTGCCTTTAAAGAGGTAAAGAGCTCTATGCTTGCTAAGACCCCAGCTTGTAACAGTTGTATGCTGCCACTTCATACCTTACCTTAAACCTATGAGTGCTACACTTAAGATATGCAATGGTACTGGCTTTGCAAACTCCTTATATGCCATACCTTTTTGCACTATAGCTCAGACCATGGGTCACTTGTGAAAGCATGATATTAAAATCAATGCTTCCTTGTGCATCACACACTTCCAGGCCAAATAAGAAATAAAATATTTTGTCGTTCAATAATTTAGCAAATATGTGACCATCTGAACAAGTAATGCATAACGGTTTTTATATTCGGCTAAATACATAAGTATAAAATATTCTCCTGTTGATACAGTAAGACTGATTTTCTTATTCCATCATGCAGTTTGTTCCTTGTGGTTGTATTTGGTGGTATTCCTTCACCATCCTGAGTCTTAGTGTACTTTTCTCTTTTATTTTAGGGATTTTATGAGTTGATACCCCTGGATCTCATCAAAATATTTGATGAAAACGAGTTGGAGGTATGCCCACCAACCTCATAAAATATTAGGGAACAAATTAAAATTAAAAAAAATTAAAAAGTATTTGCCTCCATAATGCATCCATTTTTGCATTTTCCATCCACGCAGCTGCTGATGTGTGGACTCGGTGATGTTGACGTAAACGACTGGAGAGAAAATACGAAATACAAGAACGGCTACTGTGCCACACAGCCTGTCATCCAGTGGTTCTGGAAGGTAAACCTTTACCACACAGAGCTCTGCTGAACTGCGTTTGCCACAGTCAGTTAAAGGACACATGGTCTGACAGAAGTGTTTCTGTTTAGTTTAATGACGAGGATCATCTTTATATAGCATCTTAGCCTTACTGTATATCAATAAATAGACAGCTGTCAGCAGAAAGGGCAAGCACAGCAGACTGGGAATGGTTTTAATCTTGCAGACGGTGTTGCTGATGGACGCAGAGAAGCGAATTCGCTTGCTGCAGTTTGTGACTGGCACGTCTCGACTGCCCATGAACGGGTTTGCAGAGCTATACGGTAAGATTTCCCAATCTTTCCTACTTTCCAAACTTTAAAAGCCCCATAGGTGGCAGGTGGAAAAAAAACCTGGGTATTCACTCTTGGAGTTTGCAAAAGGGTAACTTCCTTAAGAAATAGTCTTGGGCCTGCCATGCTAAGGCAGTAAAGGCTCTCACCCAAAGAAGAATTTGAGCCTTTTATAATCCTGGTGTGATTGCTTCGAGCCTGGGTCATGTCACGAGCTGGACTATGACCGGGATTCCCTCAGCGGTGTTTGCACACCACTGAGGCTAGGTTGGGATTTGTCTCGGAGACACAGCGCCCCCTGCAGCCTCTCGAGCGCTTGCAGGTTTGCAGTACTGTCGGTGAGGGAGGCACATCTCCAGTTAGCTCTGAACCTCCAGTACAGGGCGCTGTTGCCTGTGATGTGTTAAAGATGATTGATTGGAAGGTGGACAAGTCAGAGGAGTCTGACCACTCCTTCTCCTTCCCCCTGTGTGCGGTCACAGAGTTCATGGGGTAAATGTGAAAGGCACACAATTGGTCATTTCAAATCAGGTTAGTAAATTGTGCAATGAAAAAATATATATGCTCAATATGGAGGATTTAAGTTGCTCTCCCATTTTCTCTTTGAAGTATTTTAACTTTTGATTTGTACAAATTAGGATCCAATGGCCCACAGCTATTCACCATTGAGCAGTGGGGCACACCTGACAAGCTACCCAGAGCTCACACTTGGTAAGAATTTGGTATTCAACACTTCCTTGTAAGTGATCCTCATTTGTTTCTTATTTGACAACTGTTTATTTTCTTTTTTGTTTTTAAGCTTCAACCGCTTGGATCTGCCTCCTTACGAGTCTTTTGAGGAGCTGAGGGAGAAACTTCACCTGGCAATAGAAAATGCACAGGGTTTTGACGGGGTTGACTAAGTTGTGAAGCAGGCTTCAGTGTGGGAGAGTGTCCACTGGAATGCCTGATATTGTTGGGAGACCATAGCGCTAAGTGACAGATCAACAGGACGCTATCCCTCTGGAAGGAGTAGACCTACAAATGGCTAAATATAATATCTCATTTTAAGACAGAAGGGGCTATCTTGAAACCTTTAAATGAATTCCTTTAATTGCTTATTTCCTTTATATCTGTTATATTTTTGAGGCCACTCTAAACACGATCTTGTTTATGTCACTGAATGTCATTAAAGCTGACAAAACACTGTATGTAAATTGTAAGAAGTGAATTGAAGAAAGTCACATTTCTCACACTTGCCAATGTTACTGGACATGGGGGAGGCTGTGTTTACTGTGTGTAAAGCTCTTATTTCATGTTTACTTGTTCAGCATTTAGAATTTAATGGCATGGCGTTGTGCTGTTCATTATAAAGCAACATAACTTTATACTGCAGATACTATACCTTCTGACGTTTCCTCTCATTGGGAGTACCATTTGAAATGAAGAAACACAGAGAGTCTTAGCATTCTGCTTGGACAGTATATAATATGCTGCTCTTTAGAAAATAAATAAATTCTTGCTGAGGATGGTACACTACCACACGCATTCCCACTGTTAGTCTTTTCACTCTAGTTGCCAATGCTAGATATCAGATTAGGAGCGTTGATCTTTCATAGTGTTGGTCTGGACACCATGCAATGTGTTGCGCTGGTCCCTTGTCAGAACCTATCTGGTAATAGACATATGCAGTGAACATCAGCTTCACTATTTGTCTCTTAGTTGCCCAAGTGTTTTTTAAGAAGCAGGACATTCCATTTCCTAATTTGTGGGTCGGCCTTTTTGATTTGGAGTGAACCTTATGCCCCATTTCATTGGTGACCCATTTTCTTTTACATTTGAATGTAGGCATTAATAGATGAATGTTGCATAATCCTCAACAGAACCATGCATTTTTCTTTTTTCCTACTAAGCTGTGTCAGGGGAGCAGAGATATTGGATTCTACCCATTCTTTGGTTCCTGAAGCCCACAGCTGAAATGATTTCCTTGCTCTTTCTTAAAAAAATTAATACCTGTTATTTCCATCTTTTAAAATGTAATCGTTACCCATTATATTATACAAATCATTCTGAGACATCCTCTGAATAATTTGCAATGAAAATATACGTTTACAAGTGTCTTATGTGTTTACAAACTGCTAGAAATCTTACACTTTCTAATATTTTAAAAGTTCTTTTTAGTGACTTCTTATAGAATAAAAGAGCACTTTTGTTTCAGTTATTAGATATGTTTGTAAATGGTCTTAAAATTACTGTAAAATTCTTAAGCCTTTATGAACAGACTTGTAAAGTGTAACTTATAATTGAAAAATGTCCTGCTTTTAAGTAGTCTATATTTGACTGTTGAGTAAATGTTTACATGTAAACATTGTTGAGTATAAGCACATATTTCTTTCATTGGTAATTTACCAGGTATAAGACTGTTAAATTGTAATGCCTTTCTTCTCTGTAATATATATAAAATAACACTTTGTTTATCAGTTTGTAATATATCAAATATAAACATCTCTCTTCTTAATCCTGAAGGAGAAATATTATCTGATGTGAAGAAATGCTACTTAATTACAGGTGTTAAAATGTAAATATTTCAAAAACCATTCATTGCATTGTATTGTCATTCTGACAAAACATGTTACTGAATGTGCATTTTTTTAAGAAAATAAGTTGTGGAACAATCATGTGTTCCAATACCTTGTATAAACTATTTTAAAGCTGCACGCCAAATTAAGAGGTGGCATATTTTGGAAAATGAATAAACTGAAGAAATACCTGCAAATCCTTAATGTCTGAATTTTCTTTGTTGGCCAGTGTCACATGTCGGACAGTACAAGGGCGTGGCTGTTAGTGTGGCTGGTCCTGGATTGTAGCCCAAACGGGAACACCTGAGTGGAGTCCGCATGTTATCTCCATGCCCATGTGGATCTTTAGCGCTGGTGCAGGGATGTAGTCCTGTTTTATGTCCTGTGTTTCTGTGGTAGGCTCCAGGATGCTTGCTGGAGGCTCCTTATCATCCTTTAACGGGAATAAGAGTCTTACTGATAATGAATGGATGAATATTTACCTCTGTATCTGTGATTGTGAAGCCTTTTCATGGAAAAATACCCTGAAGAATAAAACCATGATGGTGATTGTTATTCCTTATAGTAGAGAAAAATAGCAATGGTTGTGCTAATAACACTAGCACAAGTGTTAGAAATTTGTTCCAGCAATCTCAGTGTTCCAGTGAAAAGACACTGGTGGGGGCATATCGTGCTGCTGATTCCCATGAAGCCAAGTTTTATTACGTTTCTCTTGTGTTTGCTGGTGTTTTGTGGGCCGTTTATGGTCTTTTCTGAGGGGGGGCTAATGTGGCTGCCACTCTTCTTCTGTTTTGTGGTCTAGGCTGTATTGAGGCTGTCTTCTGCCTCCTGTTATCAGCATCTCAGAAGGACTGCTGTGGTTCCTGCTGCAGCTTGTGTTTTGCTCCGCAGTGGTTGCAGATTGGTCGTGCCACTCTAATTTGGGGTACCCGTTAATCTGCAGTGAGCAGAGGCTGTCTGCCGCTGGTCATCCTTTGGGCTGTGTTCCACAGGCTGACTGCTATTTGCGGTCCCAGTTTCTGATTGCGGATGTGTGTTCTTCACTGCCCCTCCTGTGTACTGCTGTGCACTGCTGCTGTGCTCGTCTCCTGCTTGCTTGATCTGCTGCCAGCTCCTTGCTTCTGCTTCAGCTGTGGGCAGTAGTAACTTCCTCTTGTTGCTCTCACTATAGTATCAGTGTTTGCTGCATGTACAGGGCAGCAGTGACAGACACTGTATATCCTCTAGACTGGCTGTGCAGCTTTGGATCACTGGAGGCCGTGTTTAACTGTAATTTGTTCTCTTATTCTCTTATTCTCACGATTTAGTTTGTTACCACTCATTTTGTTTTTAAACAGTGTAAGAGAATTGATCACAGTCAAAGCCTGTGCACTGTTGGTCTATAAATTCAGTAGTGCCATTTCGTCACATTGTTCTCATATTGATTGTAGCTGTCTATGCCACCTTCCCAAAATTTCTTCAAGTGCCATTGCCAGTTCTGAACTTTTTGGGAAGTCTGTGCAATTTGCTCTGTTTAATATCCCATTGTTAATTCACAAGCCTCTGATTCTCATGCGAGTTTATTGTTGATCGGAAAGTGTTTTCTTATGTCTTACTGAAACCTGCCACCTACCAAATTGTTTTGCTGGTGCATGAAATTACTTGTACTAGAACTGGCAAAGTTGGAAGCTCCTGTGGCTCTGGCGAGGATGGTAGTTCCACAGCCATTCGTCACAAAGATCCTACTTCTGGTTATGATTCAGGAAATAGGTGGAATGTCAGAAAGCACTGCAAAGAAAAATTAGCAACTAAAACTTGTTGACCACCCAAGTATTCATTCCCCTGAGTCAATACTTGCTGGAAGCACCTTTAGCAGAAATCACATTAAAATTACATTAAAAAATTGTAATTCAACAAAAGGGTCCATCATCGAAAGGAGGTAAATACTTTTGCAAGGCATTCTTTGTGCTTGTGTTGGTATGTAAAATGTGTGACCCATGATGCTTTGTTCCTGCACCTCGACAGAAATCTACTTTTTCTGGGGTTTTTTTCCCATGCTTGCTAACGACAATGGTGAGTCCTTGAAATCTTGTCTTGTGCTGAAAGATACAGGTCTGCTGCTGTCACACTTCTGTTAAACACATGTCCTGTTCCTAATTTTCCCTTTCTTGAAAATATTCTTGATCCAGTGCTTACAGCTCAATTGCATTCTTTTTTTAATCTGAATAGTTGTTTTAATGTTCAAGCAATATTACAGATCATATTATAAAAAGTAATAATTATTAAACTTATTACTAGTAAAGTACTATATAATTTGTTAGGGACCATGATCTTCCACCAGATGGCGATGTTTCTCCAACATGTTGAGAATGCTCACCTATATGAAGTACAGTACCCGAGATAAGGTACTGAAATCCACTTTTATCTTTTCAAATAATAATGATATTATGGATTATATCCATAATAAACTTTTAAAGTTTTTAAACTTTAAAACAAAACGCCTCCTAAATTATGTGCAGATGAGCACTTGCAGTACCTAAGAAAGTCCACATGATGGCTTCAAATTGCACGTCCTCTTGTATTCACCCAAGCATAACACGGAATGGCGTGTATTGAATCCTTAAAATTCATGGATTATTGCCCTGAAACTTATGATAATATTTTGAGTTTTTTTACAGCCTTTAACAGAGATAAAATAATATTATGCAGTTAATTAATTATAAAAACATTAACTTTCGGGTTAATTTTCATATCTCGCAAATATTGGTGTTTTTAATAAACTTTCTATAAACATTCTTCTTGCCTGTTGAAGTGCAAAATCATGTTTTGCCGAGAGGAGAGCAAGCTAGCAGTTTGTGCTTCGTTTAATTATCTGCAGTTACGATACTGTTTTAGTACCTATAATTAATTAACTTTACAACTAGAAGCAGTTTACCGCTATACTTGTAAAACGCTGAAGACACTTGATTCCAGAAATGTAAATGCAAACGTAAGAACTAGTAAAATATAAAGTGTTTGATGGTTGCTTTAATCAGTAATGCGTGTGTCATTTCTGCATACGATTGTCATTGACCAAATCTTTAATACATCCACAATATATATTGTGTAACTGTATCACATCGTTAAGTAGGAACTGATCAAATAAAACAGAAGAAACCCAGGTGGTCCTAGCTGAGACAGATTTACAAGAGTTGGTTTAATTTTGTAAATGCACCACATTCATTATGCATGCCATGTGAAAGATGCCCCGGATCGATTCGGAGCCGGATGGGCAGAGTAGGGGATGCTCCGGGTCCGTAAATGTGTTCGCGTCCTAAAATTAACCTTTTTACGACCCAGTTTTACAACGAAACTAAACATCTTTAAACAGCTTCGACCAAAATAAAACCTCTCTAAATAAGACCTCTGTCATCATCCGTAGTGTTTCCCAGTTTCGCTGGAGGTGCTTTGCATGCGTGTAGCGTGTTTGGCATTTGCCTGCATATCTTACAATAGGAAATTAATTATAACGTTGGATTCAAACGTCGGACGTTCTTACTGTGCAGCACTGTTTTATGAATCACTCAATCTTGCTGTTTTCTGTGGCAAATTACATCAAGCAAAGATGAGTTATTGCATTTGATAAATTCTCTGCTCGTCACTTTTGCTTTCAATTACGTATTTCAACAATTTTGTATATTTAGTGTAAAGTAATTGTGAAAATTGATTTGTCACCGATTTACAGAGCAAGAGCAACTTATAAGATTTATCTCACATTAAACCACTTTCACACATATATACCATATATACTACAACTATTTTATGTACTTATATAAATGAACAGGGACAATTAATCTCAGCATTGCCTATGTGGATAATTCATTAAAACTGTTCATCACTCTAAGCTATATTTTGCTAGCCGTACACGAGGCACACCCCTGACTGCACATTCATAACTGGGATGAGTCTTGCCTCAGATAGTTCAGAGCACGACGGAAGTAAAACAAAATAGACCTGTAGTTTGAAATAAAAAGTCCGATTGCGTTAAACCATTGCTCGACTCCGCCTTTCCCGAATGGCAGCTCTCCCTCTCCTCCACCGCCACATGTGCCTCAGTCCTGCTGGGAAGGGACCACCCTCTCGGGGGCGAGGTCACAGGTCACGCGCAACTCCATTCAGGCCCCCGGACTCTGTAACAAAGGTGGCCATGTGGGGTCAGTGGGGATGGGGGGGTTCTCAGTGGATGACACCGCACCGTCCAATAGGAAAGGGTCCTAACCTGCCGGAACTCCTTCCACTGAGGCTCCTTTAACATTCATAACATGATAATGACTTTTACTCTATTGATCGGGCCTCAGACTTGACCTATGTCCGGGCGACCCCATCCCATTTGGCCCATTCACAGGAAGGTACCCTCAGTTGAAGATATCTGAGGGGCCGTGTTTCCAGACCCGGTGAATTGCAAATTCCAGGAAGAAAAAAATAAAAACTTGACAACTTTTAAACAACTGTCTCCTAGAAGAGGCGAATTGGGAAGTGTTCTTTATTTCCATGTGCTTCTTTCCATCGGGTCTGTATTCAGGAATGTATTCACTGGTATTCCACTGCCTAAAACAAGCAGAGCACATTGCATCCCAGTACTTGTGATGTTTTTTGGATGAAAAGCATTCGCATGAATATGAGAACAAATGTGACATGGTGGGATATCTCTCAGTTCTGTGTTCTTTAGCTACAGGAGTTGTGTGTGAAAGAGCCCTGAGACCCTCTTCTCTTTTCTTCAATTTCCCATTCAGGAAGTAGATCTGTCCATTTTATACAGTATATTAGTTGACCAGAGGGAAGAAGAAACGCACTATGCTGCTGTTGTTGTATGATATGTTTGTTCAATCCAGATTACTGGACTAAATGAACTTTATCTTGCTGGTAACCTTCACTTTGTTCCTGAGAAGTTTTGTGTACGTGAAGGTTAATTTTGTAATTCATTCAGGATCATTTTCTAGAGGAGCTGAACAAATGCTTCCTTAACTGGAGCTTATTTTCTTTCTATATCCGGGAATTTTGTTTGCTTCAGAAAGAATTTCAGCACCAAATCTTACAACAGGCGTTGTACAAGCATGTACTGTTTTTAATTAAATGTTTTTTTTCTTTTTGTGCAATATGTATGTAAATCTTCTTGCACGTACATAAGGAATGGTTTTGTCGCAGGAGATATTACAGCTGGGCCTATTGTCC